AGAGTTTGTGTAACTTCTGGGAGGAAGAGAGCTTCCAAGTTTGGGAGGAGGCACTGGGTATAATAAAGCCCACAACCCCAGAAGAGACAGCCCCCAGGCACCCTGTGGGCTGGAGGTGGTAGGCTAGGACTTCTTCCTTGTTTATGAACTTGCATTAGTCATGATAAGCTAGGTTATGCTGCAGTAACGAACAACCCCCAAAGTCTCAGTGGCCTGAAACAAAGCTTATTTCTCATGCTAAGCGTCCAACAGGGATCAGAAGGGTGACTCTGCCCAGTACCGTCCCTCCGTGGCCACCGTGGAAGCTGCTAACACCTCAGTCTGAAGCTTCAGGAGTCCCTGGCACCAGCTCTTAAATACTTCCGATCGAAGAGTCACATGTCACCTCTACGCACCATTCATTGGTTAGAACTGGGCTCATGGCTTCACTAACCTAAAGGAGAGGGAAGATTAATCCTCTGTGTAGTCAGTAGAGGAGCACTGAACATTGGTGATGTCTATCAAGCCAGTAGGTCTACCGATTCAGTTTACCTGAGCGGAGTGTTCCATGGTTGGGTCTCTGGTTCCACTGCAGTAACCTTTGTACTATCTCTATCCTTACTTTCCATCATTCAAAAGATGGCTACTTCTCCTTATCGTGTATGTTGTTAGAGCTGCTGTAACAAAGTACAACAGACCTGGCTGCTTAAACAACAGAAGTTTATTGCCTCACAGTTTCTGGAGGCTAGACATCTGAAATCAAGGTGCTGGCAGAGTTGGTCCCTTCTGAGGCTGTGAGGGAGAAGCTGTCCCCCTGCCTCTCTCCTTAGCTCAGCTGTCTTCTCCCTGTGTCTCTTCATATCATCTTCACTTTCTGCCTATTTGTGTCTGTGTGCAAATTCTTTTAATAAGGGCACCAGTCTTACTGGATTAGGGACCCACTCTATCCCAGTCTGACCTCAACTAATTTCACCTTCAGTAGTCTTATTTCCAAATAAGGTCATGTTCTGAGGTACTAGGGGTTGGGACTTCAACATATGAATTTAACACACAGGGAGCTTACTCCCCAGTGGCCTTGGCTACAGTGGTGTGGTCCCTCCTGTCAACTTCATTTGCATCCACTTGTTACCCCCAGGCCAGACAAAAGCTGATCCTTCCTTCTTTGGTGCTACTGTACTTTGTACATACCTCTGTTCCTCCCTGGGTGTTATGTTGAGATATTTTAATTAGTGGGTTTATTTCCATTCCCAGCCTTTAGGTGGTCTCCTTTAAAGTAGGGTCTCCCTATTTCTGTTCCAGAGTCTAGGAGAGTGCCTGGCACAAAGTAGACCCAATGTGCTTTGGAGGCTGAAAACTGAAGGCCCCCACTGGTCTTATGGCGTCAGCCCAGGGCTACAGACTGGAGTGATTTTTCAGTGTTAGGAGTAGGGGTCACCATAGGGAAACTGATGATGGGTGATCAGACACCACGACCAGAATAAGACCAGAATACATTATAATGATACTCAAAACACAAAGGAGCTAAGGAAATCAGGAGAGAAAAATAAAGGGGCTCTGCTTTGCCTTTAAAAAAAAAAAAAGTCATCTGTGAAACAGAGGAAATCCCTTGAGAGATTTTAATAGCAAAATATCAGGAACCCAGAAGCTCTGTTTTGTGGCAGCATCTAAATCCAGTTTGGCTTTTCTTAATATCATTTTGCTTCAAATCATAAAGGAATAAAAAAGACTGAAAGAAGAAAGATTAATAATTAAAATCCGGGAAAACCCAGATTTTTGGTTTGATTAGGATTTGGAAATGGACAGTCACATTACTAAGTAAGGCTGCCTGCCTGGTGATGGATTGAATTTTTCTTATTTTTCGATGATAGAAAAAAACTCGTTTTTACTCTGGAAAGTCCTGAGTAAGCAAAATCCCCACACAGAAGACTTAAAGATTCTGATCACATCCGTCAGCAGTGAGATTTCTAATAAAGACTCTTCTAAGATATAGTAGGCTGTTGGTACCTAATCCTGGGGATGGGAGTCCGGCATTGCTGCTCATAGATCTTACTTTCATAGAGTATTTTAGGAGACCCAATTAGAATGAGAAGAAATAGGCATTATTCTGAAAAGCTGCATATTGCAGTGGGTTTCTCCATCATAGGGGACAGAATGAAGCAAGACTTCCTTCCTCGTTCAGGTAACAGCGATGGCATTCTCATTCTGTTCTTGAGTTCGTTCCTCCCTCTTTAGTCTTTCTCCCAGGACAAGTCCAAGGACCCCAGGGGCTTACTCAGTTCAGGAGGGGCAGGCGGGAATGGGCCACCTGCACAGGAAGCCAGCACAAGGGGGATCCCTGTTTCCCCTTCTGTCAGGGCTGCCCCCTTGTGGTGGGGCTGAGCCGCACACCCGGGAGAAGCTAGTCACTGCAGGGAGCAGAGACTGGCCGCTGGCCTCCTCCTCTCTGGCCCAAGGTTCTCAGGGTGCAGAAGGACTCTGGCTGCAGGTGCAGCTCCCACTCAGGTGCTCGGTCCTAGGAAACCAGGTCATTCTGTTGCCCACGGCAGCTCTTTTCCGAAACACACCCATTTCACGGGTCAGTCAGGCCAGGAGGGATTCCAGTGACAATGGAAAATCTACATTATGACCAAGAGCCCAGCCTACATTACCGTGTAAATGCGGGCGATGTAGGGGTGATGGGGTTTCAAGTTACTGTTCGTGTCTGCCTCTGCCGGGCCTGGCCAGTAGCTCTGAACCCCAAAGGGAAGGGCCTGCATTGTAATACCCCCTTTACAGAAGGTGAGCATGTTCCTTTGGAGAATTTGTGTCCCACCATCCCAGCACAGTGGGTGGCATCCTTGAGCTTCTGCTGTGTCTCTGCCGGACCCGCTGGCCCGGTAGCTTACCCAGAAAAAGGTTTCCTGTGAGGTTTGCTTAATCTCTCTAGGCTAGAAATGAGCACCCAGCCAACCCCACCAGCTTCTGCTTCTGTGGACATCCTACACACTGATGTTAAAGATACTGAGATTTCTTCTTCATTTCCTGAAGGTTTTTTAAGTTTGAATTTTATTTGATAAGCAAATGTCTGATTTTTACATGGGCAAAGTGATGGATGTTTTCTTTGTGATATTTCCCCATTGCTTTCTTGCCTAGGAGGTCCCTTGTGGGTTTTCCTTTCAGTTATTTTTCTAATCCATCCAGAGCTTACTTTTGTCCATAGTGTGATGTGAAGACCCAGCTTTCTTTTTCTTTTTTTCCCAAACAGCTAGCCAATGTTCACAGTACCAAAAGCTGAATAATGTATCACCTCTCCACTGATTTGGGTCTTTTGCTTTTTAATCCCATGAGTACAAGGTTACCTTCAGGAGGTTGTAGGGTGTAGGTGGCCTTCAGGAGGCGTGAAAGTCAGGGCCGGCCAAACCAATGCGTGCACAGGCCCAGCAGCTGAGTGGGGGAGGGAAGACAAAGCCAAGAAGAAGCTCCTGCGAGGCGACCTCATTAAATGACCATCAGGGCACGGATTCAGAAGCCATGGCTCCTGTCTCTAGTCACTTGGAGTGACTCGGAACGTAGGCAAACCAGGATTCCAGCATCACTGAATAAATGCCTTGAACGTGGTACCACTGAAATTCTGAAGAACTTGAAAATAATGTTTCTAAAAGATGGCGTTGTTTTCCTGACTAGATGGTTAATGGCACCAGGACAGCAGCCGTGTCTGAGTTATCTTCAAACCTTCCCGAGCTGGAGTGGCACGTCGTGCACAGGACAGATGAGCTGTGAAGGAGTTTTCATGGCTGGGCTGAAGGTACATCACACTCCAGCCATATCCGCTGTTGTCAGCAGCTCTTGAGTTCCCACACTGAGAATGGGTGGGATGTGTTTTCCAACAGACTGCACGCAATGTGCATCCTTTTCACCGTTACCTTCTACCTCTGTGTCCTTCCGTCGGAGGGGGACTCTTCTAACATTACTATTCAGGATAAAGACAAACAAGCAAGCAGAGGTTAGAGGCCCCGCAATCCCAAATTCCAGCGAGGTGGCGCATCTGCCTTTGCTGCTGGAGGATTCAAGGCAGCTGGCCCTGGGCTGGAGGAACAGAAATGACAGGCCTGACTTACAAGGCGAAGATTAAAGATCAGCTAACGCGTGGATTTCTATTCCTTTTACTAGATACCAAATGAGGCAGTTTTATTTTTGTAGTAAGAAAAATTGGGGATAAAAAAATGGAGACGTTACAGATGGCAGCTCCGTTAACGGGATCATTTTCTAACACATTAGAGCTGTGCGTGTGAGTATTTTATACTATGTTTGGATATATGTGTATATTATACATATGTATATATACACATATATAACATATACCAAATATATGTGTTCATATACATATGAATTACAGTTTTTATAGCTGCCACATATGATTAAAGAAAATATTTCTCTCTAGAGAGGGAGAACTTCTATTTGGGTATATTGTCCTAGTATTCAGTTATTGTTAGTTTTTCAAAGCAGTACAAGCCTATTATACAAAATTTGAGAAATTCAAGAAAAGTAGAAATGAAGGAGAGGGACTTCCCTGGCAGTCCAGTGGTTAAGACTCCAAGCTTCCACTGCAGGGGGCGCGGGTAAGATCTCTGGTCGGGGAGCTAAGACCCCACATGCCACGCGGCATGGCCAAAAAAAAAAAAAAATGGAGGAGAAAACACATATATTGAGTGGATTATCATAATTTTAAGACTTGAACCCTAGGGTGGAGTCAGGGAGAGCCAGGAGCCTCCTCTGGGAAGAAGGAGTCTGTAACAGTCTAGGAAAAGTGTCCCTGGAAACATCTCCATCCTGTCGGGCCTCTCAGGAACTTGGGGCCTGGCGTCCCTGCTCTGGTCACTGCCCGAGGGGTGGTGACCTTCCCCATACACGTTCGGTGCAGTCAGGAATCTCTATACATCTCCACTCTTCATCAGGGAGAGTTTGGGCTCTCAAGCCGCATGAAGCTTCCACAGCTCAGCCCTTGAATAAACCCATGGCTTTCTTTCTCTTTTTATTCCCAGACCGGAATCATTTCCCTCTATGACTGTGTTTTTAAGAGGAACCCAGGTTATAATCAGAAATTGCACCGAGACGACAGAGAACATGCAAAAAGCCTGGGACTTCATGTTAACGAGGAGGTAATAGTAAGGCAGGGTATCGCTGGGTGTGAACAGATTCACTGTGTGTGTGTTTACTTAGCACTGTGTGCAGTTGGCTGCACGTAACTCGCCTTTGTGAGGCTCTCCTCTGTCTCACTGTGCCAGGAAGTGAGGACTAAGCTACTGTCACAGCTCACTCCATTCTGCCATGTTAAACTGTGTATTAATTTTTGTGACTGTTGGTTAGTCCTCTAGAATGTAAGAGTTCCATGACAGCAAAACTCAGGAGTTCTTTTCAATAGATAAATAGGTCTTTGCTTAACCTCCCAGGCCTGGCTATCATAGTTCTAAGAACACTGGCCTTCCAGGGATGAAACCACACATGCAGGAAAGAGTATTTCTCCCAAGTCACCAGGCCACTGTATGTACCACATACGGCTCAGTTCTTCTTTTATCTCTGCATGGTTTTCTGAGAGGAAGGGCTTTGCTTCTCGTCAGCTGCACAGGGTGGGTGGTGACCAACAGAGGGAACCAAACTCACAGGGTGAGAAGGTCAGGCTCACAGCAGGTACAGGGGGTTGGGTGGTGGGTTGGAGGTGTGGGCGTAGAGAGGGGGGTTGATAGGGATGGGGGTGGGGGAAGGAGGCTGTGCATCCCCTTGGCATGGTCGAGCCCACCTGCCGCTGGATTAGACCCTCTTCCACACTAGGACATTGTCTCTCTAAATCTGATCCGAGGACAGTATGTTTATTAAGATCTGGATTCTGTATTAATATCATAATCTTTATACAATACACAGAAATCTGGATGAAAAAGCTTCTGGTGGGATTCCTTTTTGGATCAGAGGATTTTTGCCTGTAGCAGCTAATGTTTAAGAATACCACCGTGTCACTTTCAAAGAAACCTCTAACTGCTGTGAAATTAAGTGATGGAGGTACTATGAAGTATCACCACTTAAGTCACAGACATTAACTTTGTTTTTCTGTTGTTTTGGTTTGAGTTAATTCATTCCAAGTTGGTAGTGAAGTTAGTGCTTTTCTCTCATAAGCACACACCTGGCATGACTTAGATCCAGTCAGAGTTTTTGAGCACCTCCCATGTGCCACTGAGTATAAAGGGAAGAAAACAGAAGTGTCTGTCCTCCTAGAGCTGACATTCCCACGGGGAGACAGAAAAATAAAAGCCAAATAAATAATGACCTGGATGCCAGGTATTGATAAGTGGTATGCAGAGAAATACAGTCTTTTAAGGGGATGGAGAAAATGAAAGGGATGAAGGGGGCTGGGGACATGATGGGGGGCCTGGGGAGATGAGGGTGTCTGGGGGATGGAGCATGGGGAGATGGGGGATAGGGGAGATGAGAGGTCTGGGGAGATGGTAGATCTGGGGAGATGAGAGGTCTGGGGAGATGGGAGATCTGGGGAGA